CATAGTTTACAGATGTGCATGGCTGCACAGGCATTTTCCTCAGCGAGGACATCAGTTTCAGTAATTCACAAGCGTTCCCTTTCCCATCCTCTCACATCTGGCCATTTCTTTTTGCCTCTTTGCCATTTCCCTGCATTTTTTTCGAAGGCTTTTAAAACCAGATCAAATCCTCAAACTGAGAGGTATTATATACCTCCACTGAGGACTGAGTAGTCAAGAACAATTATAGATGGAGCACTGCTGCCAAATGCTTTGTATCTTTAAACTGTAGTCTTGGGAAAACATTTTGAGAGCCATTGTACTCCCTAAGAAAGTCAGCATAGTTAAGTGAAACTAAATTCAAGAAATGATTTAGGAGACAGACTAAGAAGATTTACTTACCAGCTTCTAGGAGAATGGTTTGTCCAGATTTATTTCATGCCTCTTTTTTTTTTTTTTTTTTTTTTTAACACTTTGAAGATTCAAACTGGAATGAACAAAGTTGTCTCATTATATATTCTTAATACCGATTATTGCAAAAGGCAAGAATACAACACTGACGATACCGAAGATTTTTAAACAGGATAACTGACGGTGTTGAAACAGTCTTTAATCAAAGAGACATTCCAGACTAAAGTGATGTCCTGGACCAGCCACATTTTTGTATTTGACTGCTTTCAAGATGAAGAATAAGATAACTTGATAAATCAGATCACGTGATGCATTGATTCTTTTTCATTTCTTTTAGATATTTACTTCCTGTTTTTAACTGCCTTTATCTTTTCTGCCTTCTTTTCCTTCAAAAGTTTCAGATGTTTGCATGCTGTATTCTTCAAAGCAAAGAATAATGTAATTCAAGCAAAGAATAATGTAAATATGTAGTGTATTCTTTGCATCAAGCACACTATTATATCTATTGCTCCTTTCTTAAGGGTCAGTCTAAGGATGCACTGACATTTAATACTCAACTTTAGTTCTGTAGTTTGTATATGTACAACATTCAGATCAGATTAAGTTTTAATCTCTGATTGATATTCATGTTTGTATGAAGGTACTAATACCATGTGGTTGGTTTTTTTTTTTTCAGTCCTTTGGTGATATTTTTTTTTTCCATTTTTTTTTTTTTTTGTACTGAACTGAACAATTATTCCTCAAAATGAAGAATACACCTACACTATAGCCACCCTCCTTCAACTAAAAATGCCCTACCTAGATAAGTAATGAAGGCAAGGCCAAGCAAGCTTCTTGTGAACAAACAGCGTTCGGGCTCACACAGCTACTAACTTTTGCAATGGGGAAAAATTTGCAGATATTTGATAGAATACTAGAAAACAAATTTTACTTTTTTAAAAGTCAAATTAGAAATCTCATTCTAAAATACACATGAACCTACACAGGGAATATACAATAACACTTCTGTATTAAGAGTTACTTGTAAATGAACATTAAACTACAGTCAGTAAGTGGGAAATACTCAAGTGAACACCAAGAGAACAAACTTAAATATATGCAAGATTGGAAAACTCAGTTTTCATTTATAATTGCACAAGCTTGAATGTTTAAAAGCACTGAAATAAAGCATTCTTTTCTCTTTAAAAGAAAAGAACTTGAAGGTGTTGAATGCAATTTTTTTGCAAATGAATGCAAATGAAACTTTTACTTACAAGAATTATCCATAACGCACCCACAGTCTGGATGCTTTGTTGATTATGTTGTTGACTTTGTAACAGCCTCAGTTCAGCTCCTGATCATTATCCTTTAGCAGATTAATAATGACTGAACCAGAGAAACTCTGTGAAAAGATCACAGAAAACATCTCGGCTCTACAAACACTGAACATGAGTGGTCTAGGTTAAGGTCAAAACTGAGCCAGGGAAGGGAAGCTCTTATTTCAGTTCTTTGCACAATGCCTACTCTGTAGGTAAACAGGAGTCTTCAGTTTAACAACACTAACAGATCCTAACCTTTTCAAGCATACATATTTATTTAATTACTACCTTTAAATCAAAGATATTTCCTATGAATAGCTTTAGCAAAGAGAGTGCATGATTTCCTTTGTTTCCTATTCCAGTTACCAGCATGAAAGTAAAGGCTGATGTAATCATTTCATTCAAGGAATAAAACAAAGAATCCTTTATTTCATTGCTAAGAAAGCTGAGATCAGAGACTCCTATAAGCTGTTAACTTCAAAATATTCAACTGAAATATACAACACGTAATCACAGACATTAATGCTCATGATGTGGATATAAGGCATGTTCTACAGCAAATGAAGTAAGCAAATAAATTCTTGCATTTTTTTTACACTGAATTTACTCAAAAGTCAATGCAAAGTAATAATCAGAACTCTTGCTTCATTCAACACAAGAAATCCCTACAAAACAGATGATGGGACATTTTAGGAAAATATACTGTGTGAATCACTGTTTGCAGCCCCTTGGCTGAAAAGATTACATCTTCTGGCAGATGATACAATGCAGTATATCTGCATACCAGGCTACATGGCAAATAGAATCACAGAACAACCAAGGATGAAAGGGACCTCAAAAGATCATAAGGTCCAACCCCTTGTGGGAAAAGGAAGCCTAGATGAGATTATCCAGCACCTTACACAATTGCATCATGAAAGTCTCCAATGATAGGAACTCTACCACGTGCCTGGAGATATTGTTTCAGTGACTGATTATTATCACCATTAAAAAAATTCATATCAAGACAGAGCCTCACCCAGTGCAGCTTGTACCCATTACCCCTTATTTTCCCCATATCACCCCTTTGTGAAGGAAGTGCCTCCATGCCCTCTGTAGCAAGTACAAGAGTACTTGCTACAAGTACTGAAATACTGTAATGAAGTTCCCCCTAACCCTTTACTTCTCAAGGTTGGAAAGTTCTCTTTCAGCCCTTCCTTATAGCCAGGTGTTTGAGCCCTTTGATCTCCTTCATGGCCTTCCTCTGGAACCTCTCCAGTCTGCCCACATCTGAATTGAACTGGGGAACAAGAACGGGACTCCAGGTACAGACTGACAAGCGCTGAGTGGGATGATTACAACTCCATCTCTGCTCGTAATGCCCCTGTAGGTACAGCCCAGGATCTGCTACGTCAGTACAGGTGCAGGACTTTGCAACTCACCTGTTAAATGTACACCTTGAGTATCCTAAGTAATGAAGCCTCATTTCCTTTATCTCTGCAATAATTGCTGCCAAGTCGCTCATCATCAGTCCTGTGCCTTGCTTCACCCATATGCTGGGCTGGACGTAAAATGCACAGAAAAGTACATGATGAGCGAGTAGAGACATGCTATTTCAGCTGAGAAGTCATATAAATGAAGAATTATTCTTCTTCCACTTGCAAAATGCACAGATTAAGCCAAATTCTCCAATGCTTAATCACCTGTAACTCAAACCAAATATAACATAAATTGTGTATGTACTGAAAAACTTGGTCATAACTACTGTTAGGGCTATCATTACACAACTTAGATTAGTGCAAGTCTACTGAGTTGTGAAGCTGCTCTAGCACTGTACTGAATTAGGCTGTACCTATAGAAGACATATTATTTCTTAAAGATTTATTCAAGTTGGTTGTTTGGTATTTTTTTTTCCCCGTTTCAAAAGGCCTTTGATAAGGTCACAATTATTAACCACTGCCTACATGCCATTCATCTTGTTTTTCCTGTTTTCTGAACGTGAAACTACAGAGAAAATATCCGCAAAACATTTATGCTGAAGAATGCATGTGGTATTGTGAACACTTATTTTTCATACTCACTGATTTCATGCAAAATACTGTTTACCTTCTAAAAGGGAAAGTAAAATCAGATAATGAAACATTTATGTTCTGAATTTCAATTTATATACAACTAGAAGGATGGTAAATATACTTGATGGTAAATATACTTTTGTTAAATAGAATACGTACTGAAATTATTTTTTCTTCAATCTATCTCATACGAATCTCAGCCTTTATGGAATAGTTCTCTGAGATTTTTATTTGAGTCCTATGCTACCTCTATCATACAACCATTAAGGCTGGAAAAGATCTCTAAGGTCACCTAGTGCAACCATCAGCCCTTCCCCACCATCCCACTGACCATGTCCCTCAGTGCCCCATTACACATTTCTTGAACACTTTCAGGGACCGTGACTCCACCACCTCCACAGGCAGCCCATTCCAGTTTCCCATCCCTCTCTTTCAGACATTTCTCCAAATATCTAACCTGAACCTCCTCTGGCACAGCATGAAGGCATTTCCTCTCATCCTATCACTGTCATCTGGGAGAGGAGGCTGACCCTCACCTCTCCACAACCTTCTCTCAGGCAGTTGTAGCAATTAGGACCCCTGAGCCTTCCCTTCTCCAGACTAAACAATCCCAGTTCCACGTGGTCTGCAAAATACAAACAGCAAAATGTTTATATGCTACCCAATCTCTGCTTATTTTTCCTATTTTCTTTTTTAGCTACTTTGATAAAACAAGCCTCTTTTTTTTTTTTTCTTTTTTTTTTTTTTTCACTTGGATTTACATAACACAGTTTCCCATTTTCAACGACGACTGGCATCATTCACAACACCACTAATTTGTAATATATTGCTGGTCCATTATCAGAGTCATTATTTGCTACAGCCGCACTCATAAGGCACGCTTTCATCAATTTTCTTTAGGGACGAATAATATGAAGTGTTGTTTTATCAGGTGAGCATTAATTGACGAATCCAAGAAGGCAATCACCTGGGTGAAACAGGCAAGCAGCTACACCTAGACCAGGCATGGAGAACTAGCTCCTGGTAACGCTGCACGGCAGGTCTTTCTGCTCGGTCTGGTGGGCTTACACAGCCGCAAGGTGTGACTCCATGAGGCTAAGCACGGTGCCCACAGTACCCGCTTTGGAGAGGTAACAGCCGTAGAACCGGTGACGAACCTAGCCGGCCGCGACACCGTGCACACACCACAGGTTACGGCCATCACGGCAGCACTACGCGTTGAGGGAAGCGCCCGCCCCGTCGCGTCACTGCCGGAGCGGCCCAAGATGGAGGGCGGCGGGCTGCGCGGGGAGCCGCTCCCCAGGCTCAGGCGCCATTTGGGGCAAGGGGCAGAACGCCCAGCCCCGCTGCTGCAGCCGCTGCTCCGGGGCGGCGGGACGGCCGGTGGGTGGTGCCGGGAACGCTGGCGCTGCCGGGAGAGGTTGGGGCTGGGGGTGTTGTGCTGTGGGGCAGTCGGTGGAGCAGGCGGGAGGACGAGCACGCTCGGGATGTTCGGGGGTTCCCGGAGCTTCGCCCCCACGGCTTGCTAGCGCTGCCTTCCCGCTCGTCCTCGGCCGTAAGACAGAGGTGCTGCTGATGGTGGCGGTGCTGAAGGGCAGAGAGGAGGTCCGAGCGCTTGTAGGGGGCTCAGCCGGTGGCAGTGCTTCTGCGAGGTGCAGGGCCGGTGTGCGTCAGGCTGCTGAAGGCATGCAAACCACCAGTAACGATCAGAACAGTGCGTGAAGCACCACATACGTACCTCAACAGGTACCTCTGCTCCACTGCTTCTGCCCAGCTAAAAGCGCAGTCTATTTAGCTGTGCATGTCCCTGTTCATGGCAAGGGAGTTGGACTCGATGGCTTTTGAAGGTCCCTTCCAACTCCGCCAGTTCTATGATTCTGTAATGACACTGCAGTTAGTGACTGGCTTTGGTGGTATCATTATGTTCATGTTTACAGAAGAGTCTACAGCTGGAGAAAAGAAAAAGAAGCCCTCTCCTAGACTGAACGTTCATTCTGCGTTCTGGATTTTGGCTTCCATTGCTGTGACATATTACTTTGATTTTTTTAAATCTATTAAAGAGACAATTCAAGCAGATAGGTAAGATGCCTTACAAAGATTTCTTACAAAGAAAAGTTGTGTTTTCATCTTATGTTCAGATTGTTACATATAAACTTTGTGTTTTGAATCTTGGATAAACAAGATCCACAATAGAAACAGAGTGAGTGGGGTCTGTTCAGCCTGGAGAGGATAAGGTGAGGAGGGGAGAATCTCATCAATGTGTATAAATATCTGAAGGCAAGGTGCAAAGAAGATGGAGCCAAATGCTTTTCAGTGATGCCCCAAATTGAAACAGAGGTTCTACCTGAGCATCAGAAAACATTTCTTTATTGTGCACTGGAACAGGCTGCCCAGAAAGGCTGCAGAACCTCTGTCCTTGGAAATACTGCAGAAAAGCTTCCTGGATGTAGTCCTGGGTGACCAGCTCTAGGTGGCTGTGCACGAACATACAGACTGGTACCACCTGGACCACCTGAATCCTTGTTTTTTTTTTTTTCAGGCTTGACCAAGCCGTTTATATGCATGTAAAATGTGTTCTAGTAACATTGTATCTTAATATGTACCTTCATATTTGTGCCTAAGTACAAGAAGCCACTGCCTATTTTGTTGAAAGTATTGGGGTTTTGATTTTAATTAAAAAAAAAAATAAATCTGTAAGCATCAGAAGAAAGGTTTTTGCTTTTTTTCCTTCTTGTTTAGGTGTCTATTGAGTAGACTGAAAATATTAGAAATAATTGCTATGAAATTGTTGAGAAATAATTTCACAGAATTATATCTTTTTCATAAAGTTAATTCTCAGTGGGGTTGATAGACGTTAAATATTTTCAGATAGCTTCACCTGGAGGTGCCTTTTAAACAGGAGTGATGTATTGTGAAATTAAGTAGCTATGTAAGTGTTTCATAAAAGTAATTTAAGAAAAATATTTCAGGAGTTTTAGGCTAATCTGTAAATTTAACAGGTATTGTCTGTTCTGTTTCTGGAATAGAATGAAGAGTAATATGAGGACTGAGATGTTATTATACTTAATGTGATTTTCCCTTCTGCAACAGTTGGTGGTTTGCCTCTGGCAGTTGTTTACTGGCTGCATGTTTATCTGTTGCCTTTTACTGCATAATATATCTTGAGTGGTATCGTGGAATTGAGGACTACGATGTGCAGTATCCTGTACTGATACCTGTCACGACTGCCACTTTTATTGCAGCAGCAGTTTGGTGAGTTGAAACGTATACACAGACTTTTGCTGCACCTGAGCAGTTCAAACTGTATTAATGGATTCATTTGGTCAGAAGTATAATTCCTCTAATTCCACTTAATGTATTGGAGATAGTATAGCATGATTTCTTTGTTTTCAGCATTCATCCATGATGCAAGATTTATAATAGTTGAAGCTGTCATTAAAAAGCTTACTTTCAATATACTGGATCTTTTCTGATTGAAGAAATAGTTTAGAATTAGTAAGATCCGTAATCCTTGTAAACCATTTGTAAAATAAATTTTCTTGCTATCCCTTTGTTTTAATTCATACTCAAATCGACTTGGCTGTAAGTACAAATTAAGGTTTTATTTTCCTCAGATACTGTGCTTGCCCATGGAAAAATCAAGAATGTTTCTCATAACTTTTACTTACATAATCTCTGTGCACGTTTACCCTTGATGAGTCTGAGTGGTTTTATTCAGAGTAGAATAAATCTGCAGGAGTTACTGAAGTTTCAGGATGAGATGTCAGTAAATAAGCAGTAAACTAAACTATCTATTTTATAAATATGTGCTCTTTTTGCCCTATTTTCTTTTTATCTCTGAAGTTGTAAAGAAATAAGTATTCTTCAGGTTAAGTTATTTGAACTTCATTTCTTCTTGTGCTATGATTTACTTCTGTGCCTGGCTTTTCCACAGTGTGAACTTCTCTAAAGCCTTCTTCTTTTATTCCCAGTTTTAACGTTGCCTTATGGCCAGTCTGGTCATTTATCACACCTGTGGTGTTGTTCATTCAGTTTATGGGTGTTGTGATGCTTGTGTCGCTCCTAGGATAAGTCTTACAGGTAAATAATTGAATTATTCAAGCACACAGAAGCGTTTATCTTGTTGCATGAGTTGCTTTGTTATATAAACCATTTAAGGATTCTTTCTTTACATTTTATATACAGTTTTAGAATGCTGAAATTTTATGGCAAATGGAGTTACCTGAAAATATGCAAGTATCTTTAAGGAAAGAATACCTTTTTCTTCTTCTGAAAGATTCTCTTGTGGACAGTGAAAAGAAGAGATGAGTGAGAGTGGATGGTTTTGGGGAGTGTAGGCCGAATACTTGCAGTTTCTATCCAGGCTGGGAAAACTTGTTCGGGAAGTTGCTTGACATGATAGTAAAAGGGAGAAGCTATCCAAATGCAGTTGTCTTCTCTTAAACTCAGATTGTCTTACCTTTATCACTGAGTATGCTGCTTTGATTTTTGTGGTGAATGGTCTAGTTCTTCCTTAAAAGCAACCTTTTTATGGCAAATACAGACAATTTCTCAACTTGAAAAATTCTTTCTCAACAGCCACCGTGTTGAAAAGGGCTTTTCAGATTTTGTTGATATTCTATTCAAATGGATCCTGTGAAAATGGAAAAACTCAGTAGGGAAAACATTAAAGACAGCTCAGTAAGTGGAGTGAGAGATGCTGCCCAAATCACAGCTGTATCATCCAGGGAGGTGACTCCTTCAGAACTGCTTTAGTATATTTTGGGACCTTGAGTTATGTTTGCTGATGCAAAATTCTTCAATGCATGTTTATTCCTTCTGTCATTAGCAATGCTCTGTTTAAGTGCTGGAAAGGTGGGGAAAGAGTACATTGTGAGCTGTTAGAGCTGTGCTCATATTAATAGACTGAAACAACCATACTGCTTTAATTTGTACTTAGAGGTAGAAAGTAAGAAGTATAAGTGAACTGCAGATATTCTGAACAGCTAAATCTTAGGAAAACATCCTGGTTTTCTCAATGAACAGCCAGGTAAATTATTTTATACAGCATATTATTTACTTGATGATGTAAAATCATCCAACTAATGTATATCAAATTAGTACAGGATATGGCTTGTGCAGTATGTAAAGCCTTGTAGTGTGTGTATATATGTGTATGCATAACAGTTGATGTGTTTTTTTCTTTTCTTTCAGCTTCCTGTGGAGGATTCAAGTAACAATTATCCTACGGAGTGGATGTTGCTTTAGTTCCATTCCGTTCTGATTATACTAAGCTACCTGATTTTATAAATGAAATTGACATTAATCCATGGTTCAACCAATGGCTGCAAGAAGGCAGATGATTAGCAAGTAATTGAAAGATGGATAGATTTTATCTTAGTGACATAATGCATTTCGTACTTTCTTTCTAACAACATTATAGAACTGACTTATTAATCATTCACCTAGTCTTAAATCCCATCTGGGGACTCCAGAGGTCACTTAGTCCAACTTCCTGCTTCAAGCGTGTTGATTGATTTGAAAATAAGTGATGCTTAAATTTAAACGTTATGGTTTTTAATATGCTATTTTTACATTTGAATTGATAGCTAAAATACTAATATTTGGAATCTCTTTGAGCTTATAAACTTGGAGATAGATGACAACAGAGGAGACATTTATTGATCCACTAGATTTATAATTTTATGTGTGTTTCAATGAAGGAAATATTTCATTGATCTAACCCTTGACTTCAAATATGTAAGTATTTGAAAAAAAGATGTGGATTTGAGTAAGGGTCTAGAAAGCTGGTTGAAATTTACATCACTGATAATCTGACAGTGCCAACAGTGAAATAAATGGATTATACTTGTATTGACATAATTTGTCTACAGCCAAAGGCGAGCTATCAAGTTGTGAGTAACCAGCAATACAATGAACAATAGGAACGTTACACAAGAAATTAGGAGCATGAAGAAAATTATTTTGATGTATGCACTATGTTTTATTCTATGTATTTTATTCAAAAAGTAACTTTTCATTCTTTGAAGTGCCTGTTAATAAAATTGCCATTTTTCCTTCCTCAGCAATAGAGGTCAATATTAAATGAAAAGCCATTACCCACACACATCTGGGTAAATAAAATAACATTGTCAGTTTGTTCAGCTTGGCTGTGATACTAAAGTATCTGGGCACCATTTAGTTTCCAGACCATTTTGTATATGTCATTGTGATAAACATTTTTTATGGAAGAAACGAGAATGTAAAAGCTGGGTGCTGAAACTTGCTTAAATTTACTCTTTGTGGTTGTTGCTTGAAGTCTGGACAGTTAGAAGAGTCTGTGTTCGTTATCCTGACTTTCAGATTCACAGCATTGCTGAAAAAACAATACGTGAAATTTTTAGTAATGAAAAATGTAGATGTCTGAAGTTACTGCTGCTTCATTGAAGAAAAATTGCTGTCAGTATGCAGTTTAAAGGATCAGTCAAACCAAACCAAAATACATTAACACTACTGCTAAGTTGGTTGTAAACAGCTTGATATTTTTTTTAAATAAAATATTTGAATTTTCAAAAACATTTGTACTGAAAAGATCTTAAAATCTTTATCTTTTAACAAATTCCAACAATTTTATGTCTGCACAGATGTGCACATTGAGTTACTTTGTTCATTATGATATTTAAATGCACTGTTGCTCAGGGATGGTAATAGTCATTGTATTTTTATTTATCAACTATATAAATACTCTGGGTGCTTTAAGTTGTTTTGTCCTTTTGAATTAATATTTGCTACATGTTTGTTTCAAATGTATTCTTTTGGACATCTTAATAAACTTTGTATAAAAGTGATTAATTATTGGTCAGTACTTAATTGTTTAGCCATCAGATTCCACTGTTCTTGGTCTGTCAGCCCATCATTTTGCCCGTGTTTGTCTTTCATGACCTCTCAGCTGGGTTAATTGATTGTGTAAAACCAGTTTGTATAACTTGGTTAGAGGTATTTGCCCTCTGACTACTTTGTCTTTTTCTGAGAATCCCAGGTAGAGAAGCTTACTGCACAGAAGTCTTTTGGTAACCATTCTGAGTATGAAATGCAATGCTCATATCCTTGTATGCTCAAAAGCAAGTAGTGGTGAATCTGGTAACAATGTTTGCTGTAATTAACAACCTGACAAAATCTTGTTGCTACTTCCAGTTCTGTCAACTTTCCTTATTTTCCTTCTACCAAATCAAGAACTTAGGGCAAGACATCAGAAAAAGATATCTTAATAGGTTCCTGAAAACAATGATTAGGTTGTCAAAAGCCTTACTTGCACTAAAGCATGAATATATTTGCTGGCTTCAAACCATGCTCTCTCTAGATATATATTATTTTTTGTCCATTTCCATTGATTTCTTTTGAGAATGAGAATATGTGCCAGTGTCAAAGAGCTCTTCTTCACAGGTAAAACTAGATGCTTTAAAATCCCCTTAAAAGGAATGGAAATAAAATAGCCCAGACAGTTACATGTAGAAACTCTGTAAAATGAAAGCACCTACCTTTCTTTTCTTTAGATGTAACAATTGGGTAAGATACCAAGTAGAACATAGCAGTTCTACAAGCTTCAGAAAAGAATGAATGTAGTTCTGAGGTGATGGAGGGCTTATGTGTTCATCTGTTACCAGAAATGTCCTTTGTTACTTTTGTTCTTTAGCTTCAAAAGAGAAGCTTAAAACCTTAAGTTTTGCCAGTGGGAGTAAAATAGATGCCATCTTCTCATTCCTTCCAGTTGTTTAAGTAGTTGAGTTAGTGGTTTAATTTCATTTGAGACATAGGTTGCAGAGTGTTAAAAAACAAAATAAAAACAAACACCATTGCTTTGGATGTTTGATATGCCACCACCAGGGTTAGGGTAAAGATGTGAGACCTGCCTGGCCAGAATAAGGACAAGTCTATCTTTGTATTTGGCCTCCAACCTATGGCTACGCGAACACCTAGCATTAGGAGAATTCGTGTTGTACACAAACAAAATACCACCTGAAATATTTCATGTTTTACGCTGGGATGAGTTCCTGTCAGCCCCCACGGGCAAGCAACTGGTGCTCCGGATCTGGAGGTTTGCGTGAATTCCTGTCTTCTGGCTATAGGTCACAGAACGTTCTCTCCTCTGGTCCTGCTGCCGTCCCCAGCTATTGGCCGAACCCAGGGCACGGTGCCCGCCGCCCCTCAGCAGCCCCGCAGCGGCTGGAGGCACGGCGGGGGCCGGCGGTCCCGCTCCGCCCCCGGTGCCGCTGTGGGCCGGGCTTGGGGCTGCCCGGGGAAGCGGGGCCCGCAGCGAGCAGCTGGGAGATGGAGAAAGCCGGCGGTTCGTCCTCCGCGGGAGGCAGCTACCCGCAGAAAAACGCCGAGATCCTCAGCAGCCAGTACGGCATCAACCTGTTCCTGGCCGGGCTGCTGCTCACCTTCGCCTGGGCTGTGCACGCCGTCGGTATCAGCAAGAGCCATCTGCTCTCCTACCTCATCACGCTGATGCTTGTCCAGCTGCTGTGGATGCTGTGGTACCTGTGCAGGAGCTGCACGCAAAGGAGGCTGATCCGAGACAAGGACACGCATGCTGGAGCCCGCTGGCTGAAGTGTAAGTATATGGCATGCAGGTGGCACCGGGCCATCACCCACCTCCATACCGCACCGATCCCCTCTGCATCTCTATCGGGGAGCATCCTGGTGCTGGGGATTTGTGCACACACAACGAGTGCTAGTTAAATACAGGCATAAAGATCCCTAATGAGGGATCATGTGGGAAAACTGTCTCTAAACATTCCCACTTCCCAATGTACTACTTACAGTGCTGAAAAGTACAGAGCCTTTTTTCCCCTTTCCCGCATGTACCAGGCTAATTTGACAATACATAAGAAATAAAATACAGATTTTGGAAGAGGCAGTTGTTACATGCAACATTCCCACAGGATTTACCACCTTTTCCAGGCAATGAAATAGTCTTTATGGTAGCATCAGTCAGAAATGTCCCCAAGGGTTCTCTCCACTCATGTATTCCATATATTCCCATTTGTACGTGTCCAGTGATGCCTTAGAATAGTTTTATGGAATCACAGAATGGCTTAGGTTGGAAGGGACCTTAAAGATGAAAAGCTTCAATCCCCGTGCCATGAGCAGGGCTGCCAACAACAGGTCAGGCTGCCCTGGGTCACCGTCTGTAGGCTGGATCTTCAAGATCACCAAATTCAACCATCAAACCATAGAATAACCTAGAATTAGAAGAGGGCAAGATACTTGTCCAAACCAGTGTATAGTTTAGTAGGTAAAATATATAAACATGTAAAAGTAATCAAAAGCTAGCATTACTTGTAAGAAAAATATACAATTCCAGAAGGATAATGGAGGGCTGTCATGGCCATTACTTGCAGTTCAGGTGCCTATTGTAAGGACACAAGTTATATCAAAGACTGGTGGAGCACACTGCAGTCCCACCGAATGCCATATTTCTGGTTCCCAGGAAAAGGAAACCCAAATCAACATTACATACAGGAATAGACAAGCCCAGCTTTACTGACTGATTTTCCAGTCTTGGTACTGCAAATAGTTGATTGGAAAGTAAGTATGTTGAGTGCTATAAAACAGCCAAGGCATGAAGTATTTTCTTGCTCTAGCAAAGATACAACAATCAATTATCACAGCATCAGCTAATGAAAAACTTAGATGAAAATCCCAAGAACATCTAAAATTTGATTAGTTTGAGAAGTAAGACTGTGATGTGAAAGTCTAGTTTAGTCTCAGTGGCTGTGTGTCTCTCGTTTTTCTTTGCACCTGCTAGCAATTATTTTATAAAAATTACTCTGAGGATTTTTTAGGGGATTTTTTTTAATTATTATTTTTTAATGTATAACAATATACAGCCATGGTCTGTATACTCTCTTGAATGTATGGACTTATGTGCCAACTGTTTCTTTTGATTATTCACTGTTTTCCAAAATAATATTTAGTTCTCAGGCATTTTTTTCATTTATTACCTTTTGTGACTTAAATCCTACCAAAATTCATAATTGCAAGCTTTAATTTGATCCTATTTTGGATCAAGCTATGCTTTTCTTACAAAGAAAAACTTTCTCTTCCTAAGTATGAAATAAATACTACTTAACATGGGTGAGAAGAGCAGAACCCCCTGCCCTTTCTTCTATTGGCATAGAATTCACAGCATTTCATTTGTCCTACAGGATATAAGGAGCCACAGACATTGAGAAATAAGATCCTGGAATGCACTACTTGGTTACCTTATCCATTTCTTTTACTAGCACAGGGCTGCTCTTTGTAATATATTCTTGGCTGTGGCGGCTTCCACGGTTTTTCTTGGATGTCTACTCTGCAATTCAATAAATTCGTCCTTAGGGAAAGTCCTACACTTTCCTATTCTTAAGAGTTTCTTGTAGTTACATCAAGCTCGTAAAACTCCTTTATTCTGTACTAGTAAGAGAAAACTTAGCTGAGCTAAGGTGGCAGTTCCTCTGCCAAGATCCCTCTTGTTCTTCCCTGTATCAATGGTTTGGCATAGAAATCTTTTATCTGGCAGAGAAGTCCAAAAATGAGGGGCATTGACACATTTTCATCAAGTCTTTCCACAGAAAGCTCTTGGCAATTCTTGACTAGCTTTATCAGCTGCTTTTGAAGAACATGTCCTTGCTTTCATCGCTGGAGAAAATGTCTGTGAATCAACTAGTACAACATGTAAACACAGGCTCAGTGTATTTTCATGATTCCCTTCAAACCGTGATCATCATTTTGGTGAAAGTGGTGGTAGGTGGCTATGGCAAATATGGGAAGAGAATAACTTAACAAAGACCTTTTGTAGCAGGGTCCTGGCACACAGTTAACAAAGCTAGGAGAAATGGCCAATGACAAGAACTGCCTACAGAAATGTTTCCTGAAGTCTTTTTGTGCCTAAATATGAACTTTGTGAACTAGAGCAGTTCACTTCCAGCTTGCATGGTAGACCAGCCTCTTCTACTTACTGACAAAAGTTCCTGTGAGATCATTGTCTTAAACAAAGTCCTGCTGTCCTGACCCAAATAATCCCGGAGAAACTGATGAAGCCTTG